GCATCAAGTGGTGTGAAGCATTTGTACTATTTTTTTGTAAGAGACATAAAAACAAAGTTAGCAAAAACAAAAAGATAAATCAGGGGAAACTATTCAAACTAATCTTTTTATTAATTTTAAATTGAGAAATAATTAGTTTTTTTTTATATTTAAATGGGACACTCAAAAGAATCAAGACTAGTACTGAGAGGTCATTTAGAGGGAACTACGTTTCACTACGAGACACTTTTCAATGCGACTCCTGCAGCGCGCAGCTGCTGGGAACAACCTGAGTTTTCTGTTGTTTATTCTTAAATCTAAAGTTTTTCTAAACCATTTGTCCTTTCTTTCTTTCTTTAGAGTATACAATCATTTTAAAAGGAGGTCTGTGACCTTGCACATCTCTTCTGGAGCAGCTCGGCGATTCTTCTCTCTCTAAAGACCTAAAGAGCTCAGGAATAAGGAGCCCGATTACAAAATGTGTTCAGACTGCAGCCAGCTGATCGCAGCAGCTTCATCTCGGATGAGAAGAGACGACCGCTGCGCTGACACGCAGCTGCTGTTCACTAAAAGCCAATCAGAGTTTCCATGAAAGGGTCCAACACAGTTTCATGTTGGCCTGAAACTTTTTAAATGACAGCGCTTCCATCCACACAGCAGGTGCTTGTAGAGGAGACGAACTCTTTAGTCTCTGGGATTGAAGCGTCGCCGGCTGAACAGGTTGTGCTCTGCAGAGCCTCAATAGAACAGGAAATACAATCGCAAAGGTCTAATATCGATTCCATCCAACAAATCATTAACGCACATATACACATCTTTGGGTATATATTTTGGAGGAAAACAAACAAAAAAAAAAAAAAAAAAAAAAACATCCCAACAATCAGCTACCCACCCTATCAGAGTCTTTCACCACCTATCAGTGAGACATCAGTATAATACAAGAACTTTTAAAGCATGCAACAAATGAAATACAAATAAAAGTTTAAAATACATTTTTTCCTCTTTAAGAGTGAAGACCTAAGGATCTTAAAGATAGAATTCTGCAATCTTAATAAAAAAAAAAAGGTAAAAGAAAAAGCTAAACCTGATGCAACATTGAGTGATCATCTCAGAGTAATACTGAAAATCAAAAACAATCTTATTGGTTGAAACGAGGCGTTGGGTTCAAAGCAGCAGATCTGTGGCCTCCAGCTGGCTCGTCGACGTGTTAAAGGGATGCTTCATGATGGCGTCGCAAAATGTACCCATTTAATTTATAACAAAGGCCACGTGGTGGGAAATATCCAAGTCACTCAAATCACTCATACATGCTGATCAATAGAAGGGTCGAGGGCCAGAAGTGGTCCGTGAGCCTCCTCAATTCGGTCCCCAGCATTCACACACAGAAATACAAAAACCCTGAAATGAACGCAACCCAAGATTTTAACAATGACTCGATTAAATCAGGTTTTTACAGCTCTTTTTGTCCACAGTGTCTAAATTTTTTTGCATTTTTAAAGTTCAAATGTGCTGACAATTCTACACAGATGTGTTAAAAATAAAAAATACTGCACTTTATTAAAATAGTTGCTTTCCAAATTAACGTGTCACAAGCGTTCGCTCGCAGGTGCCGTGTTATTATTATCATCATTATATTCAGTGTTGCAGATTAAACACTTGTACAAATATATTAAAAAGCCCCGATCTACATGAAAGAACGTTCATATGAAGCATTCTACAAGAAATGCAACTCATTTTATCTTCACACTGTCACGTGAAAGACAGCATCATTGCACTGTGTGTGTGTATCGTTTTTTGCAGATGATGTGATGATGTAGAACTGAAGCCTGAGGTATACTGTGCCCATGTTTAGATTCGGTTCTGGTCTCTGAACACATCAAGTCAAAACGGTTTTCTAAAAGAAGAAGAAGAATGATTTTGAGATGGCAGTCATTGGATCGGCGTGGATAGTCTAACTTACTCCTGAGTAATTCTCCAGTGGACATCGCTGTGCACTGAAAGCAAAACCCTCATAGGAACACTACTCATAAATACTTAATACAACAACCCATTCATTTACTTTTTAAGTCCAAGACCTGGAGGACTGCCAAACTCCAGCAGTCACTTTGTGAGAGGTGGGGGACACCCTGGACAGGTCACAAGCCCATCACAGGGACACAGAGACAAACAAGACAACCATTCACTCTCACATCTAGGGACCATTTGTTACCCACAACATGAATGTTTTTTGGTCTGTGGGAGCAAGTACATACAGCCCTATTTAAAAACAAACATGAAACATCCCTTAAAACACGGAGCCAGTTTGTTGTCACACATTAGGCGCAATCCTCTGATGTGTATTTAAACCACAGTCAGAATGGTTGAGTCGGACTTGTTTCAACCAACATCAAACATCCCAAAACTCACACTGAACAGTTGATTCATTGTGCTGAAATTGGAGGTAACTCGTGTGCGTTACATAGATACTTAAATTGTTACTTGTCAAAGAGAGGCCACTTCCTCTAAGTCCTCACCCCCCGGTGCACAGTGACAAAGTACATGTGAATCCTGTATGTTCGTCGACGTCATGAGGTAAAGACAAACGGGGCCCAGCCCTCTTAAGTGCATCCAATCAGAGGAAGAGGATTTATCCTCGCCTGCTCTGATTTAACGTTATGATATAATGGTCCAGTGACATTTTATCTACAACAGCGTGGTCCAAACGCCAATCCAGTTTGGCACAGAACTCTCACAGATCATTTTGGCACAATGCTCTTATCAGAAATATTTCTTGGTTTTGGTGATAAAAGGCATATTTAACCAGGCAGTTTACAGTAGATTCAACAGAGCAAAAGCTGCTTAAAAAGTTGCAATAATGGCTATCATACAAAACTACTTCGACTCAAAACAGTACCATGATCTTTGGTCCTTGTGCTGCGGGACATGTGCTGTACTGTGAAACCAGAAGATATTTATATTGTAAAAACATTCTATGCTTAAATAAGAGTAAAACAAGTTGAGGTATTTCAATGTTTAAATGCACAGTAGCTATGAAAGATAAATATGAGGTATTCAGAAGTTGAGGTACACAAAAAACGAGGTAAAACAGCGGTTGATGTAAAGGATATCCGAGATAGGAGGACGTGAATCCGTTGCCTCAGAGGTGAGTGTCAGACTAAATATTTTCAGACATTTTTCTTTCAGGTCTTAAAAAGTGGCTAACAGCCTTAAATGTTGAGTGTTTACAAAGGAACACTGAGAGGTGAGGAGATCCAACCCCCCCTTGATTCTTTCACCATCATTATAATGGTATCTACTGCTCGGGAGGGAAATACATTTTGGATACAAGTTGCTTTTTCGTGTTACAAATGAATTCAACTATGGCATTGTTGGACGAGGCAATAAATGCGCGGGAGAAAAAAGGTTTCTCTTTGGTTCCGGGATGACAAGAATCTACTTTCTGCATCTGCTCACACGGCTGTGGGGGCTCGTTCTTAACGGTAAGTCAAAGTACTTGCATGTAAAATCCTGTGTGACTCCAGAACTCCATTCTTTGAAGACTAATGCAGATGGTGCGATGAACTCAACTCCACGAGTTGCAGGAACTTTAGGTTAGTCAACAATAATGATTTAAAAAAAGTGTTAATGGGGGGGGGAGGGTAAGTTACTTTCACTGCCAAATTTATAGTTGGCTGTTGTGCAGAAATTCTAACTTTGGTTGACTCTAGTAGTTGGTCTGTAGACCTCCATCTTTAGAGGAATCTGTCTACTAACGCGCAATCTGGAGACGTTTCCTTAACTCCAAGCATAAATAAATAGAGTGGGGCGCTGAGGTGGTGCCCCCTCGATGGACTGCACTAAACCCCAGACCCTAGGAGCCAGGGGCGTGGCTTTCAACCACAATCTAAATCTAAGAGATTGTTATGTTAGGCCTTTTATTTGATGTCATTTTTGTCCTCTGGACGGCCAAATCACGTGTCTACTTCTGAGGCTTTTGTCAGACAGCATGCCTTCTTTAAAAGTTATCAATTATATATATATCATTTTCTACGTTAACATGACTAATAGATAGATTTCAAAGGATTCAACCCCTAAAACTTTTTGTGGGCCCTCTCGTTTGAAGACGATGCTTTCTTTGCATATTATTTACCGTTTACAACTGGACATACATTATTTTTTTATACAAGTTCGTTCAGCCTTTATGATATACATTTAGGGGTTGAGAATATTTTTTAAAAGATATCTTAGATCATTTTAGAGCTGATTTCCTAAATCTTATAACTATACTCATCAATATACTCATCAAATCAGCGTTAGCCAGTAAAGCTAGAAGGGGAGCCTGAAAAGCACTGATCCTTTTAAATCAGTCCTGTGATGACCTGAGCTAATTATGATTTTATCAAGTTTGGCATTGCTTCACACAGTCTTGCTCGGCTACAATGACATTTCATACTCCGCAAAGTTAAATAGAAAAAGGGTCGATCCATCTAAGAAAAAAACTATTCTATAAGCAGGAAAAGGATACGACTGAACTCTCGTTTCTCTCCGAGCGAAACCTATTCAGCGTCAATCATGCAGCCTCTACAGCGGTCTGAGTATTGTCTCAGCAACAACATTCAGGAGCTTCACTTAAACTCACATCTGAAAAATGCACAGCAAGAAATCATTATTCCTGTGCAAATATCAACCCAAGGATCTATTATTTTTTGTCTCTTAAATAACAAAGTATAGAGGTAGACGTTTCTTCTTTGTAAAACTTCACGGACTAAAACCTCTGCTCAATGACTATGAGTACATTCACAAAGAGCTAAATGAGGTAGGTGTGGAGCAGAGGGTACAAGATTTCAAGAAGTGAGAAAATCCCTGAGATGCATACTAAAAAAAATAAAATAAAAAAAAATTGAGCTGACAGAGAGAACAGAGCTGCTGAAAGTCAGGGGGAAATATGGGTTTTCTTTTAGTGGATAATTTCAAAATGTCCCCATTTGCTGTGTTAACTACAGATAAAAGTTTTAGTGAAAAATGCAGAAAATTAAGAACAATCTGTAATTTTAATGTCCCTTCCTTTTAGCGACCGAGTCCTCTCTGAGCTCCCGTTCTGTTGATTGATTCTCTCTCCTCCATTTCCTTCATTGTGAAAAAAAAAAAACTGCAAAAAGGTCAAACGGAGGGAGAGAATGCAAAAATAGATTTTTCTAGAACTTGAGGATGCGGTTATTTCCAAAGTCAACAACCACAATGACGCCATCGGGTGTCACAGCCACACCAGAGGGGCGGTCCATCTGTCCATAGCCACTCCCCTGCGTGCCAAATTTGCATAAAAAGTTTCCATTGGGTTCGAATATTTGGATTCTGTGGTTGCGGGAGTCGGCCACGATGATGCGGTTCTCCTGGTCCACAGCGACGCCCTGTGGCCGCAGAAACTGCCCGTTCCCGGTGCCTTCTGAGCCCAGAAAGCGAGCCGACTGGCAGTCCGGCTGGATCACGAGGAGTCGATGGTTGTTGAAGTCGGTCACAACCAGGTGGTCTTCGTGGTTAAAGGCTACTCCCCTGGGGGAGTCGAAGTGTTTCCACAGAGCCCCTTCAAAGCCGTACTTGTTGAGGAACGAGCCATCGGGGCTGAAGAGCTGCACACGGTGGTTCCTGGTGTCCGAGACCAAGATTTTGCCCTCAGAGTTGACAGCCACATCCCAGGGATAGTTGAACTGTCCGTTCTTGGTACCCTTCTCCCCAAACTTCAGCAGAAACTGGCCCTCAAAAGTAAACACCTGTCAGATAAAGCAAATGTTTTAAAGCCCAGCATGTTTACATGTGGAGTAAAGGAAGAGTAAGCATCAGGAGACACACATTTACAAACGTAAATACACGTTTTCAGAAGCCAACTTTCATCTAGCTTTTGGAAAGCAGGCAACACTCAGTGTTCCAAACTCCACAATGAAAGTTCGACAGATATGTAAAAGAGTTCAGCAGGACCGAACCGATTCAGCCTTCATACCTGCACACGGTGATTGTCCTTGTCAGCCACAATGATTCGTCTCTGACCGTCACAGGCAACCCCGGCTGGTCGATCGAACTGACCGGGCCGAGATCCCAGAGAGCCGAACTTATGGTGGAAGGCACCGCAAGGTTTAAAGATCTGTGAAGAGAAACTCTGCTTATTAATGTACTTCATCAAGTCTTCAATTAGTACGAGCTTCTCTGCAAAACTCGCATATTAGACCACCCGCGATAGGAACAACAGTCCAACTGTGTAGTTATAACTGAGCGCGGCACGCAGCGAGTTTAATGTAAACACAGACAATGTTTCCACCGTGAAAATGTGTGTTTAATGCCACTCACACATGTAAGTGTGTGACAAGCTGTTAGCAGGGAAACAATAACATTTACTACGATTCTTCCATTAGATGAAGTGATATTTTCAGTTCTGTTTTCTTGACTGATTTACTTTACTAATAAAAAACTGTTGTATTCATGGCATTTAGAAGTGTAATCAAAATATTAAAGGTTCATTTAAAATGTAAAGATAAACTGAACTTGGCTGTGTCTCACATGAGGTCTGTTTCTTGGTTCAACAGTGACACGGCTGAAAGCTGAGGTACCTGAATGCGGTTGTTGCTGCGGTCAGCCACCACAACGTATCCCTCCTTGTCGACGCTGATGCCCCAAGGACGACACAGCTGTCCGTCTCCCTCCCCCTCGCACCCGAACGATGACACCTGGGAGCCGAGGGACCCATAGCTCCGTCCTGACTTTACCACCACTTTGAAGGGGCTGCCCTGGATGTGCTGGTTACACACCAGCACAGACACGAGATGCTCCCCCTCAGTTTTGGGGAGGTAACTGACGGTGTACGAGCCATTCTGGTGGTCCGTTACCTCCACCGCTGACAGGTTGCCGTCTGCAACTGACATGACAACTGCAGACACGGCGTCCCCTCCGGAGAGACGTGGCTCACCATCATGATCATATCCAATCACGGTGAAGGAGGCAGGCTTGCCACGAAGCACATTCTTCAGACCCTCACCGTGGGCTTTGGTGACGGGGGCAAAGGCCCCACTGCTGATCATACCCATGGCCTGGATGGCGATGTATAGAGCCTGTTTAAACAGCAAACAAGTTGGTGTTTTATCAAGTTTTAATGTGAAATTAAAGAAGACAATGCTGCAACCGCTTAAGCCACAAGTTTATGTTTAACGATGTGTCTGTGCCAACCTGGTCTGGAGGGGTGAACATGAAGCGGTCGTCCTCTTGCGGCTGCAGCAGACCCCTGAGGACCTTGAGTTCGTGGATCTGGGTGAGCATTCTCTCCTTGGCCAGCAGCACGTCGAGGTGGTGGCCCTCATCTAGGACCTGGCTCACAGCAGCAATGGTGCCATCCAATTTGGTGAGACTCTGGTGGAGTTTCTCCACTTGCAGGTACAAAGATTTGGCTTTCACCTGGCGGATTTTCTCCAGCTGTAGGGAGAACGAAATCAAAAATCAGTTTGTCTTTAACAAATACTAATTTCAATATAAACTTTGAGCTCCACAGCAGCAAATTAAGAAATTCAGTCATAAAAAACTTGGTAGTTAAAAGTACAAATTCTTTTTTTTTTCCTTCCTGGTTTGTAGTTTCATCTGTGATTGTTCAACATGAGGCTTACAAAGAAAAAAATGCTACTTTGTAATAAATGTCTTGGTTTAAACAGAATGTCAACAGGCCTACTGAGTGTGGTTACAAACATTTGCAAACTGCAGTTTTGAGTATAATTTTTTTAACACGCACCACATACGAACGCATCAACATTTCACCCATTTTCAATTCTGACCCCCCACTTTGGAAGTGGCTGGCTGCCGACACTGCTGCGGCGTCCAGAGACATTTTGTAATCCCATTCTTTCTGCTTTAAGGCACAAAACAGAGCAATATCTTCAGGACATTCCCACATTGGTAAATTCTCTTCAGTTAGCTGGTATCTGAGCGGACTTCTTTTTAAACCCAGAGACAACCCGGGTAATAACCCAGTTTAGGTCCTACGTGAAGGTTCAGGAAACTGACGAGCATGGGATAAAGGTGGTCCAAACCACTTCTGAATGTTTTCAGTGCACATCCAGGTTGTTCAGAATGGTTTAGTTTAAAATTTGATTGCTCACGACAAAATTTAAAGACAGCTGGAAATAACCCAATGGAAGCAATTTCACCACAAACTGGTACCAGTAACTCTGCCCTTTGATGACCAATGCTGAGCATCAAAGAGGAAACCAAAAGGTTCTGACATGCACAGATTTGCCTTTGCCCTAAATTATTATCATGCATTAGTGTTTTAATCCATCCATTATCTTTACCCACTTCTTCCTTTTCAGGTCGATGGGGTCACTGGTGTCCATGTCCAGGAGTCACTGTGCAAGAAGAGGGGGACATTCTGGACAGGGACACGTAGAGACAAACAAGAAACAACCATTCCCTCTCTCTCTCTCACCTAGGGACAATTTAGAGTTACCAATCAGTCGAACATGCATGTTTTTGGTTTGTGGGAGGAAACTGGAGTACCTGGAGAAAACCCACACAGCACGGAGAGAACATGCAAACTCTACCCAGGAAGGCCCCCGGCTGGGATTTGAACCGGCAACCTTCTCACTGAGAGGTGGCAGCTGTACCAACGGAGCCACCATGCTGCCTACCATTTTAATATTAATTCTTAAATTGTAGGGTTCAATAATCATGTTGGGAAGTAAAGTGGTGACATGAATCTTTAAAAGGCCTTCCTTGTCAAATTAGAAACGCTGAAGTTAATTCAATTCATTGTTAAAGGAAAAACTGAAAAAATACTCACTTAACTAAAGAGCCTTTCAGTTTTTTTTTTAAAGAAGCAGGATTAATTTCCAGTAAGTCATGGAGTGTAAAGCCTTAAAGAGGGTGGAGGGTTGTAGAACCTGAGGCGCTGAGTCTGGCTCTCACCCAACATCAGATAACAAAAGGTTTAACACAATGGCCTCACTGGATCTTTGGTCAGGAAGGGACTCAAAGAAGAAAGCATCCAAAAGATCTTTAACTGAAATTTGCATCTGTGGAGCTAGAGTTACATTTTATAGTTGGCAATCACACAAAGGTTCACAATTAGGCTTCCTGACAAATACACAGCTAGTTGTAGGTTTTCAGCAGAAGACCACATCAATGAGAAGAACAAATGAGTGGATGAGTTTCAGTAATAGAAGACAAAGTCACGGACAGCAACTGATCTCTAGATACTAATCAGTACTTAAAAGTTACAATTTTCTCCTTTGCAAAAAAGATCTGCTAAATATACTGTAATTTGATACAAGCTGACTCATTGTACCACAGTATAAAATAAAGACAATTCACAGAAGACAAGAGACACATTCTCAAATGGGCTGTTTTACCCGTAAGTTATCTTACAGTGCTGTTCCAGTCACCCCACAGCCACAAATCTATCTGAAGGTTTTTATTACAACGCTGACTCACTGGGGAGCAGCTTAATCAGTTTTCCCGACAGTCCTGGTGACCATCAAACCGGCTGCACAAAAACACCAGCAGACTCATTTTCAGTACCCAGTATGACTCAAGTTGTTTGGCTCAACTTGCAAGCTTCCAACACCTGAACTGAAGATGATCAAAAAGCAGAGTAAAGTGGAAAAAAGGGGTAGAGAGACTACTGTCATTGCTGGTGTATAAGCCACTACTTTTTTCTCACACTTTGTATCCTGTGGTTAATACGCAGGAAAGTCTTATGTATTTCTTTCCCATAATTTTCAAAAGTTTTATTTTTATATCTTATTTTGAAAAACTTACTGCCATCTCTCTGTAACTTACTGCCACTGAGTAACATTTTCCTTTGACAGAGCTGGGTGCTCGTGGCTCCCAGCACCCCGACCCTCTTAGGGGGCAGATGTTTGTGACACAGAGTGAATGCCCTCAGGTAATCAGACGTACAAAGCCTCTTGCTCAGGGTTTCAAATTCCTACCATAACTCCACCCACTCAGTCATCATGTGACCAGAAGTCTAACCTGAATGACCAATGAAGTACTCGAGGACTAATCCCAAGATAGACGTGCATTAATCTTTTTCAGATTGTTCTTGTGTCGTTACCGTACTTTACGCTTCATGCACAGACCTGTTCATTTGGTCAACGATAATAGAAAACGCACGGACAATTTCTTATGACGTAGCTTTCATGTTAAAAGCGATTGAATGTCCAGGAGGAAGCAGAGCTGCCGCCCGTAAGCTCTGCATCAACGCGTCAATGGTCGGGGATTGGAGACGCAAAAGCAGAGACCGCAGAGTCCTGGCCTGATGAGGTCAGGACTCTGCGGTCTACACTCATCTCCAGGCCAGCGGTCACTCTTTCAAGTATGAAGATGTTCACATCCTGGATAGAGAGGAACGATGGTTTGAGAGAGGAGTAAAGGAGGCCATCTTTGTGAAGAGAACACGTCCATCATTAAACAGGGTGGAGGCCTACGTGTTCAATTGTCCCCCTCTTACAATGCTGTGATTGCTAGTATCACTCAGCCCTCTGTGAATAGTAAACAGCCATCAGTGTGCTAATGATCCATCGTTAGGCTGATGGTCCTTCTTGACCATGTAAGCAGCTATCCTGATGCATGCTCAATAATCCAGGTAGAAAAATCTAAACAAGTTAAATCTGGTCCTCTGGACATTC